AGATAAGGTCGAAATGCGGGTAGAATGCAAGCCCCGCAAAAGCGTGACGAGCCATAAATACAGTGGGTTAGCGGAAGAGCTTTGACGTTACACCTGCGACGTGCGTTTAATAGACACGCTATGCGGATACGGTTTTTGTGGCATCTTAAAAGCAGGCTGGTTGTATCCACACCGGTCCTATCGCCTGTTGCAACCCTGCAACTCGCATTTGCATCGCTAATTAGCGGGGTTCCGCGCGGTCGATATCGACGTTGATAGCATTAACCGCTCTGTTTTTCGTCGGAATTGCACCAAGAATTTTAATTATCCCTTTCGTCCGTCGATCGCTCGTATTAGTGTCTCCGATTAATCCTGTCGCGATAATCTATACGCATTATGAGTAACCATATGCGTAGCAGGACGGCATTATGGCAGAACGTTTAGATATCTCTTCGGATATTTTGTCAGAGGATCTCTGTGCGTATAAATAAAGATGAGTTTATTTAAAATATCCTCGCCACTATCTCTCTGAAATGTACGACCAAAAACATCAGTTGTCTCCTGCGCCAAATATAATTACATAAAATTTTGCAATTATTTAAATCTCATTCTATATATTAATCACTATTCGTATTCATAAATTATATTCGTATTCATAAATTTTGTTCTAATGATGCACGAAACGTTGCTCTTATAGATTATTTCCATTATTACTCATATTATCAACAGGAATCTGTAATTCTGGTAAAGTGTGTTTTAAAGGTACAGGAATGTTTATAATCTAAATTTAACACAACGTTTTATTTTCTCTTTTAGAAGAAGATTGAACTTTCGCAAATGTGCATGACGGTATTGCATGCGCTTGTGAATCCTCGCGAGATCAGCTTCGCACAGACATTAAAGCCGGCATCGCGATGCGAAACAAAGGTCCTTTTCTCAGTCTTCCGGGCTCTTCATACTCTCGCGTTCGCGCTATATAATTTCGGAGAGTTGTCAAGAACGTCAGTTTAATCGACGGACGTTCCGATCGATCGTTACGCTCTTTTTCGATCGGCTCTTGATCGCTCTTTTTCGATTGTAACGAGTTGGATATGCAAGCGATGCGCTATACTCGGGCTTAGCGAAGAGATTAACGTGACGTGAACGCATCGGTGACAACCGGTAATTTTTTTGCCGGTGCTCGCGCCGCTATTTAATTGATTTTAAAATAAATCGTAATTATGACAAAGACGCGAGAGAAGCTGCGAATCCCGGCCGAAATGTACGTTTCTTTTACAGCCGAGGGCATCACTGTGAAACAGCCATCTCTTAGCGTGGCTAACTGTAAATAATCACACGTCGCCGCGTAGAATCTCCGTTTTATATAGTTAATGCGCGGGTCGTGGTAATTCAATGACATAATTTTTAATCGAAACGCAGCTGAGAGAACAGCTACCTCGAAGAGAGCACCTTCCGGTACGTGAAACCGGTAACCATTGAGTTACCGGTCTTGTATTTATATAAACTCAACACACGTATAGAGAAAGAAAGAAAAAGAGAGAGGAGAGAGAAGAGAGAGGAGAGAGAGAGAGAGAGAGAGAGAGAAGAGAGAGAAAGAAAAAGAGAAAGAGAGAGGTATGAAACCACGGAACCGGCAGGTTCTCTGAGTGCCTACAATGGTGTTGCGTATCCGTGCACGGACGGCTCTATTCAGCTCCAAACAATGTAATCACAACTCAGCGTTTTCCGCGACGTCCGCGACGCTCCCTTATCGATCGGCGAAATCGACCGTCGATCAACGCATCCTCGTTTAAACTCAACGTCTCAAGGTGAAACTCGGCGTTAATTAATTAAAGACCTGTTCATCGTTTCGTTGTGGATCCCAGTGACTACGATCGATGTAGGAACTGCGATTATTATATTGGCAAAAATAGAATCCGACGTTATGCTGCATCTTCTAACTATCTCACGAATTTCTGCGCAATTTTATTGGAAATTTTTTTTATAACTGGTGTGATTTTAACGTTGTAATTATATCTGTGCAATTACGTTTATACAATATTTCAAAGCAAATTTACCGTTCAGCTTCTTTTTAAATAAAGTATTTTTAATAATATGACATTATTAATATTATCCCAAAATATTTTTATATTTTTCCACATGCATTATTCAAAACTAGATTTGCTGAAATCGAAACGCACTGTAATTTAATCAAGTCTCCTAAATCACAGTTTCAAAATTGCTTCAAAGCAAATGCAATTTA